TAATATAATATTATTAAGTATTATTAAATATTATTATTAATAAAATATTAATTATATAAATGCATATATATTATGTATTCTTTGCAGTCGTGAAACAAGTAATGGACAATTCGGTGAATCTCGCTGCCACTGTTGACGCAAATTCTCTTGACGATACTTATTCTCAACCGGCTAAACGCAGACGAACAATGAGTAGGATGGACAGCATCGTTGATCTAGTAACAGAAAGTAGTCCCGAAGAAGTGTGGCCCTTGCTGAGAATTCTTGAGGAAACATTGAGGAAATACCCCCAGTGCTTGAAACCGCAAGATTTCGCACCTTTGCTGCAACGCTTAACGGAACTTGCTCAGTCCCGAGACGAGCTCATCATGGATAACTTGTACAATCTTGCCAGTGTTCTCATGGAGAACGAGATGTCTAATGAAAAGGAAGTGCAGGACACCACGATTCATTGGAGCAAGATCTGGGATATGCTACTCAGGTGCATATATAAATTAAAAATTCGAAAATTGAACAATTTTAATTAAATCAACTGAAGATTGTCAATTATTTTAATTATTTTTTTGCAAAAAGCTGCCTCCTAATGTCAATTTCATATATAATTACATTAGGACATTATTATTGTTGCAGGTCTCTGGGAGCAAATCAGAATGAAGAGTCGGGTCATTCATTGATCCACTGTTTTATAATTCACAACAAGATGCCCAATGCAAACGCTCTTCTCAGGTTGTATCTGACAAAATCAATCCGTTGGTCGCCGAACAGCGTATGCACGCTACGACGGTTGTGCGAATGCGTTTCTCTGCCGCAGGACGCGTTTACATCAGTGTTGGATCCATCGCCATCGGCAACGACTGCGCCGATCTGCAACAGGACGCGTCTCCTGGAATGGCTACTAAACGTGTCGTGGCAAAAGCTGGTGATGCGATTGTCCGATAAAACCATCGAGAACATCTGCACCCTATTGGTAGATCTCGTTCTGAGTTCACGTTGCAGGCAAAATGTCAGGAAACCCTCGCGAAAACGCGAGAAATCGCGCGAACATGTTTCTGTGTCGCATCAGGACATCTATTCAACGGACCTTCCACGACTCTGTCACGCATCTTTGACATTCGAGGTAGAATTTTCGGCAAGGTCGAAGTATGAGCGCGGTGAACGGGATTTTAGGCTGATGGCCACGGATGGAAGTCCCGTCTCCTATGTGCAGGAAGCGTTCAATTTTCTGAAGAAACGATTGCACGACATTCTTCAAGGTGAAGACCCCGGCGATGAGACAAAAAATACAATTGAGGTTCACGTCGTATTGATGAAGGTAGCGTTCCTAGCTAGATTGTTGTCCAGTCTGAAGCAGCTAGGTATTCTTGCGAGGGAGGATACTGTTAACCCGCTACTTAATGTGATGGAGAAGCATCTGAAGAATAGCTTCGAAGTTTTAGCGAGAATCGACTGGAGCAGGTGACTGCTTTTATTAGAACTTGAGCTTTTATTGATCCTGTTTTCATTTGAAACGTGTCTTATGTTAAATATAGGTATGCATGCAAGTATACATACTTGTTGAGCGTGACCAGGGCATTGAATGTGCTGTATAAGACTACATATGATGAGGACATAGCAAAGATAATAGTCTCTGCGTCTACCGTGGATATGTTGAAAAATATATTCGATCTCCTGAATCTCGATACCAATCGTCGTAAAAGTGATTATCACAAGGAACATGACACTTTTCAGGTATCTAAAACGAGGATTCTGTACAGTAAAGAAATTAATTTGTGTATCAATTTTAATCCCCGAACGACTCCATTTTTCAGAAGAGGCGCAAGAGTTCCAGTTCAGAAACGTCGAATCCGTCTTTGATGAGTCTCCGACGTGAGGACGCGATCCGTCTTCAGGTTGTAGAAGCTTTGGCATCCTTTTGCGCTCTGCGCGTCGACGCGGACTGCAGCAAATCCACGCTGCAGACGAAGATGATGCGTAACTTGCTCACTATGCAACAAGACTATACGAATTATGTCGACTATTGGATATCGTTAACGATCCTGGAATCGCTCGCCGCGCGCGATCAGGAAATTCACCGCGATTATGCGGACGCGCCATTGGATCTTGTGCTGGAGGTCTGCCAGAAGGATCACAGGTACGAGCAGTCCTCGCGCCGACTGTTAAACCTGCTGCCGTACTTCCTCGAATACGCGATCAAGTACGATTATTCACCGAAGACGATCGTTCATACGCTCGCGCAATTCCACAAACAAATGTGTAAACGGAACTATGGCGTTCTCGTGCACGCAGACTACATGAAGTGCGTCTGTAACTGCGTGCAGATCGATCCAAGTTTCTCATGGAACCACGACGATGTTTCCGACAACAGCATCGTAACATTGCTAGACAGCGTCCTTGACTACATTGGCGACACGCTCTTCGTATTGCGTTCGCAGGCTGTGCGATGTCTGCAGGAGCTCCTATCCCTCAAGAATGTCGGTCACAAGTGGAAGGAGCGAATATGCATCAAGGTGGAGGAAACAGCGTTCAATCTTCTCGATGAAGCTCAACAATCGGGTTCCGATCCACAAAAGTATGAACATTAAAATAAATATATAAAGTATATTTGGTGTTGAAACAAATTAGATAGAAAAAATTGCTTTTACAACAATTATATTCTAAAGTGATTTAAATTCATAAATTTAATATATAATCTAGTTAATTAAAATTTAATTTGTGTTTAAAATTAATGTTGCTATAAATCTTAATCTGGTTATATTTCTACGCGGAATAGCAACAGTCTGGAAGAAAGTCAACAACAGGATGAGAGAGAAACCAGAACGACCAGCGCATTGATTGCGCTAGCCTCTGTTGCTTGTGCCAGTGGTGTTCTTCAGGGTCGCGCCTTGTACGCTATGCTTCGACTGTCGATAGAGAGAAAGGTGGACATGCGGATAGTGCAAAAGGTTCTCTCGGCAGCGGCGCGGCACACAACGACACACATCTCACTCGTCGAGGATAACTTGAACTACCTGCTGACATCCTGGATCGAAGACGCGCAGTACTCGTTGCAGAGGTTTCCGTGGATACTCGCGGGTAAGGACAGATCATCTTACGACGCTAATATATAATATTAATATAATAACAGTATTGTGAACATTTCTTTTTCATTTACTGATTAATTTAATTATCAAATTTTAGTTATATTCCTGGCTATATCGTTTCTTTTTTCTTCTTCTTTTTTTTCTTTTTTTCGGGAGAAATGCGTTATGCACCAACCCCGCCGGCTGTCCGGCGGGGCTATATATA